ACCCCATTGTTGTGATTTTAGTGGGTGTGGACAAATTGGCCTTCCTCAAAAGTCACTTCAACCTGTGAACTGGAGCACATTCAGTCAATGTGAATGGAAATGAGATCAGGGCTCGTGGCTCAGGACTGACCACCCATGAGGCCAGGCGATGGCTGCGGGACGCCCTGGCCAATCCCTCGGAGCTGCCATCACCAGTGCCTACAGCAGGCAAGGCCCGTTTCTGTGCACAGCCAATCCCATTTCCCTTGTGAATGCGGAACTGCGGTTATATAGATCTTTATCCCATTCTGCAGACCAGCAGCAGGCCTGGGGTCAGTCTGAGACTCCACTTCTAGCAGTTTTCCCATGATCCCTGCTGCTTTCTCATTGTGAAATGGAGTCCGGGGGCAGGGGTGCTGGGTCATGGTGTAGCCGGTTAAGCTACCACCTGTGATGCTGGCATCCCACACTGGAGTCCTGGTTTGAGTCCTGGCTGTTCCATTTCTGATCCAGCTCCCTGCTAAAGCACCTGGAAAAGCAGACAATGGCCCAAGAGCTTGGGAACCTGCATCCACATGGGGGACTAGGGTGATGTTCCAGGTCCTGGTTTCAGTCTTGCCCCAGCCAGTGAAGCCATTTGGGAGATCTTTGTGTCAGTGTGCCTTTTCAATACATGAGAGAGAGAGAGAGAGAGAGAGAGAGAACATGGTTGCAGACACGGAGACCCTAAGGGTCTGGTTTCCCACGCTCTCCCAGCCTCCCTCCCTCAGCTTCCAGTTCCCTTGTGCTCGCAAGCCAAGCACTTGCTACAGGGAAAGGCCAGAGAGGAGCACAGGGCCAGCAGGCAGGGGCTCATGAGGTCATGATTTCCCCTCCAGATAACATCTCAGTGGCTGCTCTCAAACAGTTTCTTTTCCAGGAACTCCAGGCCTGGAGTAGAAAGTCAGGACCACGCACCTGCACGTAGCCCCAGGCAGATGGAAGTACACTTTATCTCATCAGAACTCCCTGAAGAACACGAGGTGGCTGACCAATCACAGGAAGGCCACGAGCACTGCCGACCAACCAGGAGCCTGGACACGAGTTGGGCATGCACCTTCCAACCCAAGCTTCAGGCTGTTGAGAGCCTTGGTCCCTAAGGACCCAGGGAGCAGAGGATGGGAGTGGGGGGATGCTGGGGGTGGTGGCGAGTGTGGGATTTCAGGGAGAGCTGTTGGGCTCCCAGCTTTGTGCTTTGCAGTGGGCAATCCCCCATCTTAACTGTTGCTTGCTGGCAGGCATCAGAGTCAGGGGCCAGTAAACTCAGTTTTGGGGGTGCCCTCTGTCCTCTCTGGGGTTGCTTTCCAAGTCTTGCCACCACTGAACAGCATCAACCTCAGGACAACTCTGGAAGCCAGAGTTAGTTACTCAAGCTTGCAAAATAAATCACGGGAAAGCAAAGCCTGCATAAATAAGTCACGCATGGCAAAGCAACAAACCTCATGCTCTGGCTTCAGCTTCAGGTCCGAGATGTGTTGTGACCACACATCTTCCCACTGCTGCTGTCATCATCTCGTCCTCCATTTTCAGGTTCACATCTGGTCATCTTCCTTTAACAAGATCACACTTGGCATCCACTACATAGGGTGGGGGGGAGCTGCTATGTGGGCTTCCAGTTGTTCCCCCCACCCCCTGGTCTCCTGGTCTACAAGGCCTTTGAATGGTGGGCTGGACTTCCTTGTCAGCAGAGAGCCACACAAGTGAAAGCGCGTCCCTTCTAAGGTTACATGGCTGCAGACCTGGGAGCTTCCCCCAGGCCTTTCTTGCCCACCAGCTCTGAGGGATGCCAGTTGCCCTCCTGGGGGATGCCCACAGGCCCAGGGACTCGAGTCTGTAGCCCAGAGTCAACCGAGACCATGTCTGCCCACAACTCGGGATGCACCTGGAAGTGGGTCCTCTCTGCACTTGATAGCATCCCAGACCCCTGACCCACAACTCCCGGGGAGTGGGGGATAATGCACGCTGGGTAACAAAGTCTCACAGTTGGAATGGGGTGCTTGGTAGTCCACTGGGGGTACCCAGTGCTTGGTAGTCCCACCCATCCTGTAGTTGACATTCCCCTGTGGCTGAACATCAGGGGTTGGGTTTAGTGCCCTGCGAAGACCAAGTTCATTTTACCGAACATCTGCCTTTTTTTGAATGTAGGATCATCTAAGGATGACCCCATGGGAAGTGGTTGAGGCCAAGAGTCTAACCATGATGAGTGCTCATCAACTCCCTAAATTACCACCTGCTGCCCAAGGCAGGGGACTTGGTCAGGCTGGGCCAGCAGGAGCACCTCTTCTCAGGGAGGAAGAAACACCGTTTCTGCATTCTTTTTTTCTTTACAGAATATTCACTTTTAAAATTTTTATATTTTTATTTGAAAGATTTATAGCGAGAGAAAGGAGAGGCAGAGAGATCCTCCATCCACTAGTTCACTCCCCCAAATGGCACAATAGCCAGATCTGGGCTGTTATGAAGCTGGAAGCCAGGAGCCAGGAGCCTCGTCCAGATCTCCCACATGGGTGTAAGGGTCCAAGGGCTGGAGCCAGCCTCTGCTGATTTCCCAGGCCATTTGCAGGAAGCAGAATCGGAAGTGGAATAGACAGGACTCGAACCAGTGCCCAAATGGAGTGCTGGGCCACAGATGGAGGCTTAGTTTTGATACGCTGCAGTGCCAAACTCCAGAAGTATTCACTATTTTGTTTATTTGCCTGGGGTGGGGCACACTCCCACCTGCTGATTTGTACATTGCATGGCCTATGTTGGCTGGGGCTAGACCAGGCTGAAGCTGGGAGCTAGGAGCTCAGTGCAGGACCCCCACGTGGTGGCAGGAGCCTCCTATGGTACACAGTCACCCAGGCCCTCCACCTGCTTCCTAGCAGGGACCCTCTCTCCCGCCCCACAGCTGCCTGGACTGTCTGCTTTGTCTGAACCACACAGGCAGGACCTCAGGCCTCGCCTTCAGTCCGCAGGACTCAGAAAATCCTTCCTCTTTGAGAAAGCCGATCTCCCCATGCTCGCTGCCTTGGTTGACCTCGTTGGTACCCGCCCTCCAGGTCACTAAAGGACCCCCATGGCTTTGCCCAGTTCTCTGCTCCTGCAGTTCCACCTCTGCTCCCACCTTGGGCTGTGAGCCGCAGCCCCATCAGCTTCTGTCACTGTGGCCAAGCAAACAGGAAGCTGCTGAGTCACCCATTGTCCTCCCGGGCTGTGGCTGGCTGCACCCGGCTGCGCCCTGGGTTCTGGTGTCACGGAAGGAGAGGCTGGCGCCACGGAAGCCGAGCCTTGGCTCTGGGTCTCTCTGCGTGCCCTGGGGGAACCCCAGGCAGCCACAGCCCAGGCCTTGGGATGGGACAACCAGCTCTGGCTTCAGATGTGTGCCATGCTAGACTTGGGCTCTGTTTTCCCCTGGCCATGGCCTTGGGCTTGGCTGCTGACTCAAAATTCCGCTGCCCCATTTTGGTCAGCAGGGTGGAAGGCTTGAACAACTCCCTGGGCTCCACCCCCAGCCAGAGAGTCAGGTTTAATTACCTGCTCCCCCAACCCCTTTATTGAAGTGGCAGAGAGCAAGAGGTCCCCATAGGCTGGCTCACACACCCTAAGTTCCTAAGGACAGCTGGGAGGGGTTCAGGTTGCAGTTGGGAGCTGGGAACTCCCTGCTGCCTTCCAGGGATGCTAAGCTGGAATTGGGAGCCAGAACTGTAGAACTGAATCCAGGTCCTCCAGTGAGAGGTGTGGGTGTCCTAAATGGTGTCTTACCCTCTAGGCCACACAGCTACCCCAGGCGTGGCTTTTAATTTTAATATATGTGCTGCCCAAGCAAGCACAGGTGTAGTTTTTGTTTTTGTTTTTGTTTTTTTTTAAGACATTTATTTTTGAGGAGAAAGACAGACAGGATGATCTTCCGTCCAATGATTCACTCCACTCCCCAAGTGACTGCAAAGGCCGGAGCTAAGCTGAGCCAAAGCCAGGAGCCAGGAGCTCTTCCGGGTCTCCCATGCAGGTGCAGGGTCCCAAGGTTTTGGGCCGCCCTCGACTGCTTTCCTAGGCCACAAGCAGGGAGCTGGATGGGAAGTGGAGCTGCTGGGATTAGAACCGGCGCCCATATAGGATCCTGGTGCATTCAAGGTGAAGACTTTAGTCACTAGGCTACTGCACCGGACCCTTCGGGCATAGTTTTTAAAGCATCCCGATAAGGGCTGGCGCCATGGCTCAATAGGCTAATTCTCCACTCTGGCATCTGACATGAGCATTGGTTCATGTCCTGGCTGCTCTCTGCCTGTGGCCTAGGTAGGCAGTTCAGGATGGCTCACAGACTTGGCACCCTACACTTGCATGGGATAGCCAGAAGAAGCTACTGGCTCCTTACTCCAGATCAGCTCAGCTTCAGCCTCTGCGGTGGTTTGGGAATAAACCAATGGATGGAAGATCTGTCTCTCCACTCTGTATATCTGCCTTTCCAACAAAAATAAATAAATCAAAGGATCCTGATGATTCCAAAGTGCAGCCTGGCTTGAGGAATACCGAATTGGTTGGTCGCCCTCCTATGCCTCAGCCTGTTGTCTCTCAACTGGGACGGATGCTGCCTGCTTCCCGCGGCTGCTGAGAATCAAGGGGTTCTGGTGTACTCGGACACTGTGAAAAGTGTGGACTCTAGCACGTGGGAGCCCTGCGCTGGGGAGGGCCTGGGAGGACGGGGCAGTTCTCTCTACCTCTACGGACCCAAGTGGAGACTACAGGGGTGGGAGTTTGTCAAGAGGAAGGCGCGTCTGCAGCCCTGTCTGCTGCCCCCTTGTGGCCATCTCTCGAAGGGCCAAAATCGAAATTGAGACCAGCAGGTTCTGCCCCCAAAGAGCCTCTTGGTCCACGGGAGAGAAAAACTGAGTGCACAGGCCTCAGAATCCAAGACATGGTGGTCTGTTACAGCAGAGGGGTTCCAGCTAGAGAAAGTGCGAATGGCAAGGTAGAATACGCATCACCAAGGGTGGTCCACAAGGCTAAGAGAAGCGCCTGCTGAGATTGCGCCTCTTGGGGTCACCTGCAGGCCATGACGTGTGAATGGGGGCGAGGGGCTGGCCAGAGGCCAGTGTCCGGAAGCCGCCGCTGTCTCCCGGTGGGTGAGCCCAGGAGTCGGATCTGTGTGACTCGCTCTACGGAAGAGAAGCAGCCAGTTTCCCTTCCAGTGTGGTGAGTCGTGTATGAGCCAGCTGGCCCTGTGCTATCTTGTCACTTTGTGCGTCCTGGGTTGCTACATTAATGATTGCTTATCTTTTTAGACAACTAGTTTCTACAGAGAAGGCATTAGCAGAACAAGGTCACCTTAATCCAATTTGGAGGTTAAGAGTTTCCCAGTTTCAGCATCTCAGCATTTCAGTCCTCAAGGCGAGGACTTTAGCCACTAGGCCATGGCGCCGGGCCTCTTATCAGCTCTTGATGCTTTTAAGATTATTTTAAATATCACCTGGTATGATATCCTAGTGGCGAAATCCTCACCCTGCATGTGCCAGGATCCTAAAACGGCACTGGTTCATGTCTCAGCTGCTCCAGTTCCCTTCCAGCTCACAGCGTATTACTTGGGAAAGTAGTTAAATGGCCCAAAACCTAGGGACCCTACACCCACGTGGGAGACCTGGAAGAGGCTTCTAGCTCCTGGCTCCAGATCAGTTCAGCTCCAGCTGTTGTGGCCACTTAGGGAGTGAACCAGTGGACAGAAGATCTTTCTGTCTCTCCTCTGTAAATCTGCCTTTCTAATAATAAAATAATTTAAAATAAAATAAGCAAAATGCCAAATGCAGGCTAGCCTGGTAAGACAAGAGGTGGATTTTGGCTCATGGTCCTAGAAGTCTGCCCTCTGGGGATGGTATTCATGCTGGCAGTGTCTTAAGGTGGCAGAAAGACCCCTGGCATGAAACAGGAACGTGAGCTACTGTTTTGTTCTTTATAGGGGCACCAGTATCCCATATGGGCGCCGGTTCTAATCCCGGCAGCTCCACTTCCCATCCAGCTCCCTGCCTGTAGCCTGGGAAAGCAGTCGAGGACGGCCCAAAGCCTTGGGACCCTGCACCTGCGTGTGGGAGACCCAGAGGAGGTTCCTGGCTCCTGGCTTCAGATGGGTTCAGCTTCAGCCGTTGTAACCACTTGTGGAGTGAATCAGCGGATGGAAGATTTCCCTCTCTGTATTTTCCAATACAAACAGATTAACCTTTTTTTAAATAAAAGATCACAAGTGCTGAAGGATCCTCTTCAGTGCTTCACAGCCTCGGGAAAGATTTGTGGACACGTGGGGAACATGCCCAACGGGGATCCAGGCGGATCTTAGAGGTGGAGGGGACCATCACCTTGACAGGCAGTTAGAGCCTAGGTCTGGCTCATCGGGGCGATGCCCATGAAGCGGAAGAAGGCTGCCGACAGAAATAATGCCCCGTGGCGTTTTATTAGATTTTATTGATTCAGTTTTTTGGAGAACCGACAGGTTCGTGAAAGGAGGCTAACCACCTGAATACAGTTTTTGTACTGACTGCACGAAGCCCTATGAGAGCCATTTGGAATTTCTTAGCCAATAAAAGCCGATGGGTTTAACACTGGTGGGTCTCTTGAGTTTTTTCCGTAGCAGTGTGTGTCTTGTGACGCCCTCTAGGTATAGTACCCGAGTAGGGCCGTGCCAGTCATTTTCCTTCACATACGTCGCTACCTGTGGCAGGGGAGAAGGGACACTGTAGTGATTAAGTAAACCACACCGTCCTTTTCCTTACAAAGGACACAGCGTACAGACGGACTCACCTGGACTTCATCAAACAGATACAAGTTGGCCAGCTTGTCATACACGGTGACATAGGTGATTTTGCGTGGGAAACGGTTCTTGTCATTGTTCCAAATGAGAACATCTTCAGGGTCACATTCTGCCATGTCTCTTGCTGGTAGATACACAGGAGCTGTAATTCCCACCCTGGATCGTGGCCAGAAATAGTGATAGTTAGAGATTGAAAGCTGTAAATTACTTGCAAACATTTGCTGTTGCAAAGGGAAACAAGTATTTTGCTAGGTGACTAAAATCCTTGGGGCACCTGCGGTACCCTCATCCCATAGGATGTGCTGGTTCCAGGCCAGCTGCTCTCTTCCTTGCTCAGACTCCCTGCCAGTGTCTGGGAAAGCAACTGATGGTATCAACTACTCGCCACCGATGTGGGGACTGCAGAGTTCCAAGCGCCTAGCCTCTGCTCCAGTCGCCGTGGCCCTTTGGGGAGCGGACATCACCGCTCTGCCGTGCATAGCAGTTTAAGAAGGACAGTCAGCTCTGCATTCACTGAGCCGTGGACATGTACTTCCATCTCCTATGTCCTCCTCTCTGGTAGGATCTCTCGCTGCCCACGGCACTAGACGAGACTTACTTTGGGAGAAACACCAGCACGCTGCCCGGGCGGATTGCGTAGACGATTGCCTTCATTTTGCCGGACAGACACTCCCTAGAGCATATGATGTGTTCAGTGGTCTGCTTTTTGCATCGTTTGGCTGACTGTAAGAAGCAACAGACGCCCGTGTCATTAGAAAAGAAAGGATTCCTGACAGTCTCAGAAGAGACTTGAGCCCCACATCCTCACAGCAGCCGCACATTTACTCAACACAGAACCTGGGAAGTTGCAAAACCTGCACTCAGTTGGCGTTCTGCTTTACTGTCCAGGATTGGTCCCTCGAGGAGTCATGGAAAGTTACATTCTTTCATAAAGGAAGCCCGTTTGTAGTTCAAGTTAGGGACGTGTCCACTGCAAAGCTGTCCTGCCAGAGTCCTAACTACTTAGTATGATTGTCAACTGGAAGTCTCCCTGGCTCTGAGAGTCGAATCTTTCTGCCATGAGGAAAGCATTGAAGGTGAGATCTCAGATTCCATGCGTGTTCTCTCTCACGTTTGGGGATGTTTGGAGTTTGTTCAGAATCCTTCCAGAATATCACAAGTATACAACGCAGCTCATGTGCTCAAGAGGCGAGGGCTAAGAGTTGTAAAACCCCTACTTACTTGTCTTTTTTCATTCAGGTATTCACATAGTTGTTGGAGATCTTCGTTGCTTAACAGATTGTCCTCCGTTTCCGTTTTCTTTTCCTTGGCAAGAGCTGCCATCAATAACCGGTGTACTACAATATCTGCGTATCTTCTTATCGGAGATGTAAAATGGGTGTATTTATCTAAAGCGAGACCTTTAAAGGGAAGCCATAAGATCGGAGTAAGCAAAAAGGCCCACTTGCTCAAGGTTATGGCTGCACACGCGGGATGCTTTTTCAGCCCTTACCGTAATGATAGAACTCCTGCTCTGAACAGGATCCGGTGGAGAAATACAGTGCACTGCCCATGGCTTGCCCAGTGAGGTGATGCAGCAGTGTCTTGAAGTAGGGGTGGTTGGGGCCCCTTACCTTTTCAAGAGAGTCCTTCAGTGTCTTGTTGGACCTGGCAGAGAACAGAGTCTTTGTTCAGTCCCCTTGCAGAGAACCCTGTGTGTCAGCAGCTACATACATTTGTCTCCTACTCATTCCAGAAGCCTAGTTGTCGGAATGTGCTGGTTAATCCTTGGGCAGCTCCCTGGGAACACATCTTGGATCACTGCATAAGGTGGTTCAGTGTGGTCTCTGCGATCATGTGGGAAATTCAGATTGAAGCTCTTGGCTTCCACCTGGGCCAATCCCAGGTCTTTGGGCCCATTTGGAGAGGAAAGCAAGGACAGAAGATCAATCTATTCTGCCTTTCAAATAAATCTTTCACCTGTGTACTCTCCAACCTTTGCTTTTTTAGATCCTGGGAACTGTGAAGGATACTGAAAGCATTTAAAAAAAAAAAAAAAGCAACAAAGAATGCAGTTTTGCTGAGTGAACAGCCAAAGAGCTCTGTCTTAACACAATTGTCATGAGGCAAACATTTTGTCTTAAGTAAACCTGCTCTTCCCAGCTCTAACTGCCGGGCATGTGGCTCAGTGGCTGGCGCCTGCACGTTTCTGTGGTGGCACACTTACCGCGTATCTATGTCACAGCCCAGTGCTTTGGTGCACGACAAGAGATCTTGAAATAAAATCTGTGGAGGAGGAGGATGACGGCGCAGCAGAGACTGATGAGGAAACTCCTTGTAGATCCTCTTGGCCACCCAGTGATTGGCCAGGAGCATCAACTCGTACACCATGTCATGGGCATCCAGCCTTAGCGCGGGGCTGATGTTGACGACTTTGTTGTTTTCGTCTAGTTTCAAGGCAACGTCCAAGTATTTCAAATTCAGGGCCCCTTGGCTGGATCGCTGGTCCCTGAAGTGGTTAGCTAGGACCCTCAGCTTTTGGAGAGCCCATGTTAACTCCTTCAGCTTGGTTTCTTTGCTTCTCTCGTCTAGGTCTTTGTCGACGAAGATGGCCTCGGCGGCACTCAAGTTCTCGTCCAGGAGATCCTGGGCCACTCCGTAGGTCAGGGTATAGGCCGAACGGATGATGGTTCTTCCATACCACACGTTCTTGATGTCATAAGAGGTCCCCTCCAACTCCCATATGACGCTTACAGCATATCTGCAAGACCAGTGACCACGGGCACATCATGACTTCTCTCCAGACTGCAGGTTCAGTGAGGGGCAAGAAGGGGCAACAGGGGCTGAGGAAGACAGTGGTCCGAGCAGGGAGAGAAGCTTACCTGTCGGCGCCTTCTCGGAGGGAGCATAAGTCCGTACTGAGGGCAGCGGGGATCATGTCATAACGCTTATGGGGCAGAAATAAAGTGTTGGCCCTGAAAACAATGCACACATGACCTTCAGCAGAGGGACGACCTGCTGAGTTTGCAGCTTCTGGGAGGGGGAAATGGCCACCTGGACCCTCCCAGTTCCCTGAGGCTGTTGCATTTGTATAAACTGCAGCAGCCTGGGATGACACAAGTATTCCCAGGTTCCCACTTTGCTAAGTGACACGCACTCTTCCAGGATCACATGAAAGGCAAATGGCTGTGAATTTCCAGCAGCAGAGGAAACGCTGGCGTGTAACGGCCCAGCAGTTCCATGGGACTGTGTATATACATTGCCATGGGAACGCTTAACCTACTTCAAGTCCATAGGAGAGAAAGCATTCTCACAAGTAAGGTCAGGCACTGTTTGTCTACAAGTGATGGAAGAGAGCTGGATTCCTTTTCTGGAAGGAATCCTCACCTTAGCACTGAGAGAAACCTCTGAAACTGGCTTAGACGCCAAGTCACAGACACACGTGACCGCCCGCCGTGGTGGCTGAAGCCACATTACCTTCTCCTGGCTTCATTATCCAGGCAGGAGTTTGGTACCACGAAGTAGCTGACGTCAGCAGTATGGATGCCGAGTTCTAGGTGGCCATTGTCCAGAATGCGCAAGGAGAGGGCATCCTCCAAGTCCTCGCAGCCCTCCGAGTCAATGGTGAACACCAGTTGGCTTCGTAGGTCTCTCCTCTCTTTTTCCTCTGTTGGGCTTACCTGCCAGGGGTGTTCTGGAGAGCTGACTGGTAACTCACTCATCTGCAGGAGAGATGCGGCCTTTCAGCAACTCCTACACCATGGGTTTCCGTCAAAATTTTTTTTGGAACACTCCCAGCATTACTGCAGGGAGGTTCACTCCCACCCCGCCCCCACCCACCGCAGTGACATCATCCACTGATCTGGTGTTGCAGCTGTGGTCCAGCACCAGGCCAGGCTCTGTTGGGAGGGAACAGGAAGGACAGCTCCCTATTCCTGACACCCTGGTGTCCTGATGGGAAATGCCGCAGCATTGTTAGGGAAGGGACTGGAGGAAGAAGTGGGAGACTTTTCAGAACACATGTACTTTATCCCAGTGATCCGTGTTTAAATGTAAAGCTTCTTTTAATTCCATTATACTGTGTGTGGGGGAGTTGGGAACAACATGTCTCAAATATTAGCTCATTGCTGGGAATGATTTGGACAGGATAGAATTAGGGCACTGTGTCCCCTCGCCTTCCCAGTTACCTGTCTCAGGCTTTCATTTGCCATCAACTAGGCTAAAAATGAAGGGAGAAGTCTAGTCCTGAAGCCTAAACCCACATTTTACTGTAATGGTTTCACTAAGCTGCCACAGCAAATCAACAAAATAATTTCCAAAGCTACTGTTAAACATGAAAATTTGATGATGTGAACTATTCTAAAGTATTTTTCTATTATAGCTCTTGTTCTGTCAGAAAATGGTCATGAAAACAACCCCATATTCTTCCTGATGGCGATGCAAACTGGTCCAGTTTCTGTGGAAAAGCCGTCTGCCAACACGTTACAAGCGATTTCAATTTTCTGTGCCCTTTGAGCCTCATGTTAAAAATTACTTTCCAAGTGAGGGAGTAAAGAACAGAAAAGGCAATGTTGATAAACATTTAGCTTTGCTACAACATTGGGAAAAAACACAAAAAACAAAAAAACAGCAAATGCCCAAAGCTTAAGCAAAACTGGGGCACAACCTACAGCAATTTACCATAACTATTAAAATGAAGCATTTTTGGCAATATGTAATGATTTCAAGTGAGAAGTCATGGAACAGAAAATAGTATGCACATGCCTTGGGTATATACAGCTGGGTATGAGGGTTTTCAATGGTCATAACATTTGGAAACAGCCAATGTGCTATGTTCACAGGGTTTTTTGTTTTCTGGAAAGGTTAGGAAAAGTGACTTTCTGACTTGTGGATCCTGGCCTTCCCGCAGTTCTGGGTTTAGTGATTGGCAGGGAGGCAATCTTTGCTGGGTCTAGGGCTGTCTACCTTCGAGTTGTAGAGTTGGATATATTGTGACTGTCAAGACATGATGCAGCTGGAAGATGTAAAGATTGAAGAGCTGTGAAGCTGCAGGGAATGAATCCTATACCACAAGCCAACTTGGGTCTGGCTCAAAAAAAAAAAGGAAAAACAGGACAAACCAGGATGCATTTTTCCCACTATCTGACTTCCCCGGAGGGTTTGACATCTTTCTTTCCTTCTGATAAGACCTTGCACAGCACCAAGAGCGTCTATCCTTAGACCCAAGGCCTCTGGGAAATCTGACCTCAGCTTCCGAGGAAGGTAGCTCGAAAATGTCATTTTCTGCCATGATGACTCTGACGGTTGCATGCAGGTCTCTGGCTTGTCCGAGGTCACGCACCACATGTCCTTCTGCATAGATGCTCTTTGAGGGCCAGCTGTCGATGTGTACCAACACCCTGTGAGACTGCACGAGAGGAGACAAAGTATGAACATAGCACTGAGGGGTTCAAAGCACCTGCAGACAGAAGTAGAACCCCAACGAGAGTGTCCAGTTTTGCAGAAAGGGCACTGTGTTGGTAGAGCCTGCAAATGACTGGCCCAGCACTTTGACGTGGGAGGTGCTCCTTCCATGCAACACCCAGGGGGGCTGGAGAAGGAAAGCCAACTGTAATTATGTTCTGATTTCTACTAGCAACACAAGGGGAAGCCCCAAGATGCAGGATCCAGGGTAAGTTTTGAAACCAAGGTCTCAGGGTGTGTCAGGGTGCAGGAGGTGCTCTCCAGAGGTGAGCGCTCTTGGGTGGAGATCCTGCTGTGAGGTAATCATGGCGGTCACAGCCCAATCACTTCCGCTGTGTCTTGCCTCTGAGAACCCACAACAAAAGACAAGGCCTGATCACCAGGAAGCTGATCTACCACCAGCTGTCATTGTCTCATTTACAGGCAGGTTGCATTGGGCAGGATGTGTATTTCCATCTTTCTTGCTATATTCTTTTATGCATCATCGATTCAGTGAGGTGCCCCTCCACTGACCCCATGGGGTACATGGCTCATAATTCCCTATTGTGCATCTGGGAGAAACTAGTTAATGTTGGCAAAGTTTAAGTATTTGGAAGTTTCTATGTTGGATTGGCGGAACAGTATATGGTCCCTCTGGCTGTCCTACATGGCTCGTTCTAGGATGGCTCTTTTCTCTGGCCCTCATTGAGTAACCTCGGTGTCCTTCACAGATAGCTCCTAACAAAACGGAACTCTGACCCATATGCCTCTGATAATTTTCAAGGGAGTTAAGAATGCTTTCTGACCCTGTGTGGAAAGCTGGTGGAGACAGAAGTAGGCCACTCCAGAGAGGTGCTATATCCTTTACCTTATAGCGTTTTACTTCTTTGGCCATTACCAAAACTTTTGGGATCCTGTAGTCCCAAGTCGGTAGAGCGACAAGTTTGGTTTCGTCGGTGCTGTCTCGAGAGGCGTATTTTATACACGACGACGTGACCGTAGCTACAAAGTCGCGCCGCTTCTTCTCAAGAATGCCCACCACAAAACCTTTTGGTAGACAAAACAGAAGAAAGGGTTAACTGGTTGGATGCCAATCATCTGCCCCTGACTGCTCTGGCAGTCAGGAACAGGAACCGTCATGTCACATTTACCTCAAGCATATCGGCATAAGTCAAGAGATCCATAACGATCATTGCACAGCATGATGCCTGTGGTGAATGTCAGTGCATCACGTGAGGTTGAAAATGCGTGACCTGTCATTTCCCTCCATGTAGCCATTCAGTAACGTCATTCATGTTACATGCAATTTTTTCTTTGTCAATTTAAATAATGATTAGTCCTGGATTGTTAAGTGGAACAACAACAACCCTCTGAGAAGCTTGGGTGCCGGAATGGCAGTCACTGGCTCACCTGTTGGCATGGGCTCTTTTTCTTTGACTATCCATCTTCTACTGCTCCTGATTATCCACTTCTCCTTAGGAAATAGCTCTACCGCTACCTTGTCTCCATGGAATGCGCGGTTCCGGGCTGTACTCCACAGAATGATGATATCCGAATCGAAATCTGTGTTTTTGGGTAGAGCAAAGGAGCCCTGTTAGTCCATGCCACAGAAGCCTGGCAAAGCTACTCTGTGCTCCAGTGAGCGCAGCATTCCCCCAGGCGCCTGTAAGGTCACACTGCTGCTTTCTCTCTACAGCTTGGGAAATTTGCCCAAATCCGCCTGCACACATGTCACCTTCAGCTTTTGAAGGCCAGTGTCCCTTTCCCCAGGCAATGACTGGAGCCCTGTCAAATCCCTTCATGATTCTACACCCGTTTGACCCAAGGGGCATCGCCTGCAGGTGCAGGGATGACATTGTGTTACCCCAGCAGCAACTGGGTGAAAGCCTCCAGGAAGCCACTGTTTTCTTTGCAGCTAGTGAAGCTGTTCCCTATCAAGGCGTTTCCCGTTTCCACTCGGTTCATTCAAGAGCTAAGAATGCTGCTCCGTTTTTATAATTTATTTGTTGCCTCCTCCTCTCCCCCATTTTACTTTTTAAAATAGAAAAGCAGTGAGGCCACTGAGGCTAGACAGAACCACACCCTACCACCCTTGGCTGCATGTTCAGCCACAACCCCTTATCAGGTGTGAGCCCCCCCCCCCCCGGCCCACACGTTCCTTTACTTCTCTGTAGTGTAGCTTTCCTTTAGTGTGGATGTGGATGTGAGGCTCTTACCTAAATCTTTGTTGTCAAGTCCCTGGTGGCGCACAAAAGCTTCATGCGACTTGCATTTGTTTACATGTAGATAGCCCTAAAACCAGAATAATAATAATGACAATAATACATCAATCTGTGCTTATTTCACCTCCAAATGCTTAACAAATGTTAGAGGGAACTACCCCTGCAAGGTTTCACATTCTCCCTTAAACATTCATCACTGAAGACTCTTTTCTTCAGAAAAAAATTCCATCCACTCCTGGCTCTGCTCATTATCTCAGAATCCACACGGTTAGGAGGCCATAAGAAAAATGCAGGTCCCCAAACTTGCTCCTAGGAATGCCAAAGACTGACTGGGATACGCTGGCCCTTCTGGGCAATTCTTGCTGGACCCAACTACACACACACACACACACACACGTGTGTCAAAGAGTTGAGCTTGAACCATTTCATCCTATTCTTTCTGGGTGTCCCGACAGCATCCGCAGTCTAATTATGGAGTGGTGGGGGGCAGGGAAATCAGAGAGGTCCTTGAGTGACAGGAAAATGGTGATGGAATTGACAAATTTCCATATCAATTTCCCAAGGTTGCCACATCTCCAGACCTTGATAGGAAAACATGGGACAAGGAGGTGTTCACAAGGCTGCCTCCACCCTCCACCACAGGGAGCCTCAGCATGGAACACAAGCCGCATCCAGGGAGGATGTCAACCAGGCAGCTGGCGCCTACAGTGTGAAGCCTCCAGGTCACCGTGGGAAGTCTGCCCTCGGGCTGCCTTGCCTGCACCCATCTGGTCTACAGCCTCAGACAGCAGATGAAAACAAACCCACAACCATTGATTGCCATCCTTACCTGGATGTATCTTCCAGATTTGACTCTGGCTTTCAATACTTCCTCTGGAAGATGTGGGAAGAACTCATAACACGGATACGCGTGTCTTTGTATCCATTCTTTAAAGGTTTTCGAATGGAGGGACTCAAAAAGTTTGTGGACCATCTTGAGATCAGGCCAGAATTTGTCCAAATATTCCTGTGTGGGACCAAGAAAGGCATGGGGAAATGAGGTTAGAACACAGATAAACACCTGTGTGGGACCAGCTGTGTGGGTGCAGTCCCTCGCTAGCACTACAGCCCACTGAATGCAAGCAGCAGGTCCTTCCAGGGCCCCATGCTGCCATCTCATTCATGCCAGAAAGTTAAGCAGGGGCCTAGGGAGGCCATGACTTAGCACTTTCCAATCTTTCTCACTTCATGTAGACCTCAGGATCCTAGAAGGCAGAGGCAATGCTTTTTTCTTCTTGTTTTTAATATGTATTTCCTTTTTTTAAAAATAAGATTTATTTATTTTTATTGCAAAGTCAGATATACAGAGAGGACGAGAGACAGAGAGGAAGATCTGTCCCATGAATCACTCCCCAAGTGACCACAACGGCTGGTGCTGTGCAGATCCGGAGCCAGGAGCCAGGAACCTCCTCCAGGTCTCCCACATGCAGGTGCAGGGTCCCAAAGCTTTGGGTCATCCTCAACTGCTTTCCCAGGCCACAAGCAAGGAGCTGGATGGGAAGTGGAGCTGCCGGGATTAGAACCGGTGCCCATATGGGATCCCAGCGCATGCAAGGCAAGGACTTTAGCCACTAGGCCACGCCGCTGGGCCCTAATGTGTATTTCTTAACTTGAAAAAGTAGGACAGTGTGAGAACTTCCATCCTCTGGTTCTACTCCCCAAATGGCCTTAACAGCCAGGCTGGACCAGGCTGAATCCAAGAGCATCTGGACGTCTCACCTGAGCAGCAGGAGCCATCCCTTGCTGCTTCCCAGGCGCATTAGCAGGGATCAGCTGGGACTCGAAACAGGCACGCCAATATTGGGTGCCAGCATCAATTGATATGTGATGGCCCAAGCCTCAATTCAGGTCCACTAGATGTGATCATGATTCCAAGTCTCTAGCACATTTCCTTATCTCAAATTGTAAAGCAAAGCCAGTGCTTATTGTCAACACCAGCATTCCTCACACTGATTTCAGAGTCGTGTTTGAAGGGCTTCGTTTCTTTCCTCGATCCTTGTAGAAGTTCTGTCTGGGTAACACTAATAATACTCCCATGCTATGGCTATTGGCCAATTATCAGGATCAAACTTCTGTTGTCATGAGACGTTCTGGAATGTCCTTTTGTCTTGGCCCTTCCATCTAACTTCATGTCCCAGAAACATTCCTGCATCTTTTTTTTTTTTCTAGCTATCCATCAATTCGATGTGACACATGAAGTTTGCTTGTGATGGCTAGGCAGAATGAAACAATCCTGTACTGCTGGACCACAAAGGCAAGTAATTCTCACAAAGAGTAGAAAAATATAATTTTTCAAGTCAACTGTCCTCTGTAGGAGTAAGACATGATATATTGCAACAGGAGTGACGAGTGGCATAGCTATCCATAACCAGTACTCCTGGAATTCTCTGGCATGCCGGAACACTCACTTTCTTACAGTAGGGTCAAGAAAATCCTGGGCATGCACTTGGGAGCCCTAGAATTCATGGCCCAATGAGGCTTTCCACAAATCCACAGCAGTCTGGAGTTTCTGCCTCAAAATATACTGTCTACGGGAGGAGCAGGATGGACCAGCTAGACAGAGGCGGTACATATTTGCTGAGCAGTAGTAGCCATTCTGTTCTTCCAAGACACCCAAGGGAGAGGACCAACTATGTTCCTGCAACCAACCCAGACTGTCCCTGGTTATGCCACGCCCAGCCTTTAAATATCACCTCAACCTCCTTCATTTATCCCCCTTTCCCCCCATAAACAATCACAAGTGGGGCAAACTAAAGAACAGCTGAAAAAAAAACAGATTAGCCTTCCAAATGATATTGCTTTTAAGCATGCGTGCAGAGAAAATTATTTTGGGGGGCAGGTGGACTGTATTGTGGTACAGCACATTAAACCCACCCCCTGCATTAATATTAAAAAAACAAAAGAAACAAACAGAAACCCCCACCGCTGCCTGCAATGCTGGCATTCCATATTGGGGCACAGGTTGGAGTCCTTGCTGCTTGGTTTCCATCCCAGCTCCCTGCTAATGTGCCTGAAAATCAGAAGATGGTCCAAGTCCTTGGGCCTCTGCCACCCATGTAGTTCCATGAACCTGGGTTTGACTAGCCAAGCCCAAGCCATTGTACTATTTTGGGGTGACAGTCTCCTTTTTTTCCTGTTAAAGATTTATTATTATTGGAAAGGCAGATTCACAGAGAGGAGAGACAGAAAGATCTTGCGACCACTGGTTCACACCCCAAGTATGAACGGCCAGAGCTAAGACCATTTGAAGCCAGGAGTCAGGAGCTTCTTTCAGGTCTTGCACTTGGGTGCAGGGTCCCAAGGCTTTGGGCCACCCTACTGCTTCCCCAGGCCAGAAGCAGGGAAGCAGGGAGCAGGAAGGGAAGTGGAGCAGCCAGGACATGAATTGGCGCCTATATGGGATCCCAGTGCACAAGGCAAGGATTTAGCCATTGAGCCATCACGCTGGGCCTTACCTCTCAATCTTTAAAGAAAAGAAACAAAACAAAACAAAACAAAACAAAAAACACCACCAAAAATCTAGAGGCAGGATAGTAAAATTTCCAGAGGTAGACTGTGTGTGTGTTCTAACCCTACCATTTTCTACTGTGTTCTTGGACAAGTTTCCTCACCAATAAGGACAGGATAAAGACCTGGTAGATTGTCCAAAGAATTAAATTCAAACAGAGTATGCCTGTTCTAAGTGTTGAATATTAACTTCAGGTAGATCCAGGTCCAACTGCTTGCTATCTCGGATGCCATCAGTAAGAATCGTGCTATAATACTGTTATGATTGATGTTTTTGTTCCATCAGCAAGAATGCATTCTGAGCAGATCTTGAATGCTGTGGGTGTTTCTGTGTTGCCAAAGGGATTTAGAGATGCAGGGGCAATCCTTGAGGAAATACACTCAGGTTAATATGCATACCTTGAAGTTCATCACTAGCACGCCTTCTGCTTTGTTCTCATATTCAAAAACTGCGTGTTCATGCGTCACCATGACGATGGGCATCTTTTTCTGGCAGTGGTGATAATACCATACAGCTGCGGCGTAGATGTTCCTGGAAAACACAGACCCGTGAACCCTCCAGTTCACACTAAGTTTCAACCTGTCATTCCAGACCAACCAATCATTCCTTTACTCATTCCACAAATACTTCAGAGCATCTATTATCACTAAGCCATGAGCGAATAAGAATGCCATTTCAAAAAAGCCCGGTGCCAAGCCACAGGAAGTGCCAGGAAGCCATCTCTTGGAGAGCTCAGAGAACAGAGCCTGGGTCTGGGAACAGAAGACCGGCTAACGTCTTCAAGAAGTGCCGGCCACAGACAATCCCCCTACTGCAGGCCTTGGAAGGTGCTTCCACAGCCTCCCAACGGCCGTGCCATAGCACTGGCTGGGCCTTGGGTGTCCTTCTCCCCTGCCCTGGCTCAGCAGACACCCCCCACTTCCAAGTGCTTGCATTGGGTTCTGCTCTATGGGTGGGCTTACATCAAGGTACTGCCCTCTCTCAAGCAGTTGTCAGAATTAATCTGCCAGTTCTATTTAGTTGTCTTCCACCGCAGCCCCCCCCCAAAAAAAACACTTAAAAGCAGGAGCCCTAGTTCTCTGCATCCCCACCCCCAAACACTGTCCTTTGCCCTCTGGATCTCTGGCAAAATCCTGCTTTGCAATTAGGGTTTGGGCAAATTTCCTCTGGGTACCTCCATGCCCCTCGTTTCCATTTTTTTATGACACATCAATTACATATTCACGTGATCTAGCTAAAACGTTGGCCTGTTGAGCTGTTTTGTACTAATCATGGTTCCCTAAGACTCTTGGTCTGCCTTTGCACGCCATCGGAATCAACTTCCACACAGTCAGCGTAAACCATGAGCAAGAGAAAGCCACCTGGAGTGGTGCCATACCTAGTGCTCCACCTAGCGTCGTACTCATTAATATCGAGGCTGCGTCTAAGTCTCCATGAAATGTCACCTGATTTCTCTTCTGATTCTTTATGTGGGATGTAGCAATGCTGTTGATATTCATTGGCAAATAAGATGCAATCGTGGTTGGCTTCCCTTATCACGTCAGACAGTGGCAGGTATAATCTGTGACATAGGAGAGATAAAAAAAAAAGTCAAAGAGATAAAAATCAAAGAGATAAAAAAAGTCCCAGCCCTCCTGCTGGGACTTGCCAAGGACAGCAAGAGGGAACACTTTCTCTGGGCCTTAGGGTGTCTCACACCAGGGCGCTGCTGCTGCTCACTGCCACCTGCTCTGCAGGGGTCCCGGGAATTATCCTGCAGAGACTTTCGATGCTATTCTCTCCTGACCCACCTAGCCTCTTTCAAGCTGAGGGGAGCACTCTGTATCTCACCTTGTTTTAGAAATGCTGCAAGGCACAAATATTTTACTTTTAGCTGACTGCCCTAGGAAACGATGAGTGAAGCAAATTTAGGCATTAGGGATTTATCTGTGTATTTTATTTATGCAGCAACATGGCGGACATCAACGAGAGCCAGCCTCATCCATCACTGGGAGTTCTCCAAGTTGAAAGTTTTTTTCTCATTGACAGATAATCCCAGGTCTGCCAGGTCAAGCCACAAATCAATGGGCAAGTCTCCCAATTTCTAAGGTGCCTCTTTTTTTCTCTCTCTCTCTTTTTTTAAATATTTATTTTCTTTTTATTGGAAAGTCTGATTTATAGAAAGGAAGAGAGACAGATCTTCCATTCGTTGATTCACTCCCCAAGTGGCTGCGACAGCCAGAGCTGCGCTGATCCAAAGCCAGTTTCTCCCACATGGGTGCAGGGTCCCAAGGCTTTGGGGAGTCCTTAACTACTTTCCCAGGCCACAGGCAGGGAGCTGGATGGGAACTGGGCCGACAGGACATGAACCGGCTCCCATATGGGGTCCTGGTGTGTGCAAGGTGAGGCTATGGCTGCTGGGCTACCATGCCAGACCGTCTAAGGTGCTTTAATACTGCTGGTTATATAACATTACAGAAACCCTGTTTTACCATGAAGGGCATCACTGTCGTGGTGCTGTGGTACAGCGGGGTGCTGGTTCAAGCTGCCTGCTCAGCTTCCCTATCCAGCTCCCTGTTGGGGTTCTAACTCTCCTATTGGGACTCTTGCCTTTCCAATCAATAGTTACAGAGCAGGCAGGGAGAGTGCCAAGTGGAACAGTTACAGTGAAAGAAAATGAAATAGTTCAAAGGATCTTGATGGTTGGAAAAGACAAATGTAAAAGTAGGTAGGTTTTGCCGCAGTTCGACAACACTTACTGCCATGTGGCAAAGCATACAATCACTCATTTCAGTGAGGTTTAAGAGATGGGATATCCAACTCGAATTCTAATTACATGCAGCCTCAAAGCCCATCTTCCTCCACGTCCAAAGAAGCATACTACCCTATCACCACATTGCATGCTTCACGTGTCAGCTACCTGTCTGCCAGACAAAACAGTGCTAGTGTGGGCTCATGGTTCTAATCTCCTAGGATGCCCAGACAGTCTCATCATATTTATCTGCTCATCTGCATTAACAGTGAGCTGGAACCTGCATGCGTGGAGTCTGTAAGGAGCATCCCAGCCTTCCCAATGGGTTTCAGAAATTGCAATCCAAGCATAAGTTTTGGGATTCCAACCTGGCATTCTGCTGTGAGACTCAGAAAGACTGCCCCAGTCTGATTTCTTGTATCAAGCCCCAACAGGCCACCAGGTTTGTGGTGAGAGGAAGTGAGACACTAGGCCTGCTTCCCCAAGGCCTAAGTGTTTGCCCGGGGGACAGTCAGAGGTTTGTCACAAGGGCCTTTTCCTAACTGCTCGTGTCTTGCTTCTGCATTTAGTGTATTGAGACACAGGCGCTGGAAAATCAATCATTTTCCATCAACTTTCTCTTTTCTCAAAATGTTCAAGGGAAAAGGCATTTAAGAGTCTGGGAATGTCCTTTGAACTGTGTTTTAAATCATCTTTAATATCAAAGATATTTTAGAAAGCAGAAGTTGAGGGCCCGGCGCCATGGCCTAGTGGCTAAAGTCCTCATCTTAAACGTACCAGGATCCCATCTGGGCACTGGTTCTAAACCTGGCAATCCTGCTTCCAATCCAGCTCCCTGTCTGTGGCCTGGGAAAGCAGTCGAGCACGGCCTGAAGCCTTGGGACCCTGCGCCCTAATGGGAAACCCGGAAGAGCTTCTGGCTTTGGATTGGCGCAGCACCGACCATTGTGGTCACCTGGGGAGTGAATCAACGGATGGAAGATCTTCCTTTCTGTCTCTCCTCCTCTTTGCTCTCTATATATCTGACTTTACAATAAAAACAAATAAATCTTAAAAAAAAATAAAACAAGTTGAAAAGGCTCCTAGTTGTTAGCAGTTGGAATGTATAAAAGCAAATTGATTTTAGTAGCTGAAATTGAAATGACACTTGGAGCAGGGGCAAAACCTGGATATGAATAAACATCTCTTTTTGTGTCTGAAAATCAACTTCACATTTTCAAATATTCTATCTGGAAAAACCTATAGCTAATGCACATTAAAAAAACCTGAGCACATCTTGAAAGCATAATTTATCATTTTCACATGTTTAAAAAATGAAACATTTCAAAGAATGAATAAGCAGTCTCTGCTTATGAAGCAACTTGGGGCATTAAGAGGTTGAATATGCAATTTCAAATGTTCAATCTATGCAACCTCGAGTCCTATCTTCCCCCTGTTAAATGAAGCATTTTTGGGAATTTTTAAAAGATGGACAACTATTCTGCATTTAGGTGGAAGGTAAGTATTGTAGACAGGTTCAATTAGAAAGCCTTTCATATGAAACACGATTACTAGTAAGCCATTACAAACAAAACAATGGATCCTTCTGGAAGCAGTATTATCTAAGAATTATGAGATTGTCTTTGATTGGATTAAGGCTTAAGGGAAGGCAGTGAGCCTGTTAAAAAGGCCTATAGCATCTTAAATGTCCACATCCTGGGGACAGTGCAGTTTATTGAACTGATACGGGTTAGCTGGTGAAATTTCGTTAGCAAAGTCCTTTTTGGCCAAATAGTTCCGGTTCCCTCTCCAAGACACTTTGTCCATGCAAGAAACCAATAAATATGGAACATACGTTGTCTGGCAGCTCGAAGAATGGAGATGCTTCCACAACGTCTGCGTGAAAACGATCCCCTTCAGGCACCGCGACTCAAAAATTTTCCAGTAGTCTTCGACAATCTTCCAGTCTGGGAACATGTAATGCGTGTAGTCTGCGGGCAACAGCTTTCCCTCTAAACGTAAATCAGGGAAGATTAGAGAACGTGGTTACCCCCAACTCCTTAGCATGTCCAGGACCCGGAGCCCCAGAGTGCCAAAATCAACTTCCAAAAGAACCTGTGAACAAGACAAGTCGTCTTGGATCACGGACAAAGTCCAGCGGAACTCGGTGCCTTTGAAGTTGTGATGGGCGCGAGCCCCACATGCATGCCACGCTCTTTGAGGGGGGTTGGCTCCTGGCCCAGCCTCTGCAGATTCTGCAGGACCTGGCTGAGCTCCCTCACTGGGTGGCGCCTCCCCGCCGGCCTGGCCCGCGCAGGTCTGGCTGAGCTGTCAGACCCGGCCGGTCTGCTGCCACCTGCCTCCCAGGTCCGCGGGGCCCGCCCGGGTGCTGGCGCCCTGCTCACTCACCATTCCGGCACTCGGAGGGCCGGGAGCAGAGCGCGCTGTTGCAGGGCACGCACGGTAGCAGGTACGTTTCCTCCACGTAGTCTGTATCCAGAAAACAATCGTAAGCCGGAAACGTTTTCCCGCGTTCATTGTTGCTGGGGGCTTCCTTCTCGACAAAGGCGAAGTCATCATCCAAAGTGCTGTCCTCTTCGGACCAAGAATCCTCCGAAAGGTTCTCATCGTTGGGGTCGAAGGCCTGTGGCCCGGGGTTGAAGCGGTCTCCTCTGGAGCTCATCGTGTAGTTGTGTCCGGGTCTCCAAGAGGGAAAGTGGCAGGCCGCTGGAGAGTCCGGTCTAGACCCGAAGCTGAAAGTCCTCTCCAGAAGGTGAAGGAGCAGGTAGCAGGCAGCTGGCGTCCAGGTTGGAAGCTCTGCCAAAAGTGCCCTGCACGAGTGACGGGGCAAGTAGCAAACAGTTCTTTTATACCTGTGGAGAAAGGTTTAATGCAACTGAATGGGATTATTAGTGATCTACACCCCTGGGTGGGAATAGGGCAGGTCAAAATTGCTCAGGATTCTGGAAATCAGTGAGTAATCCTTTCAGTCCAGCTTGTCCTCCTTACGTGTCTTTCATATGTGCAAAAATTCAAACCCTGCAGGTCAAATGCGACTCAATGCATAATTTCAAGGCTCAGGTCCACCCTAACATGAAAGCATTTTGCAACCCCCGGCAAAGAAGGCTTACCCCTGTCAAGGACAGACCCCAGGTGCCTGGGTCCTCTTGTTGATCGCCTCTGCCCATCCTGGGATGCCGCATGCTTGGTGTGGATGGATGGACCCCATGGTTTTGGTCCCTTTGAACTTGCCCAGATCGAAGCAGTCTGTATGGTTTTACAGACTGTAAGAGACAGGGTAAGCCGAGGCAAGAGCCCAGGAACTTGGTTATCAAGTGTTGTCATCAGAGGTGCTTCGCTGAGGTCATGCCAGGTTAATACAGTGAGTACTGATGAAGGCAGCTCAAGCAGCTGCTCAAACATCTGAGCCACCCTCCCCCACCAACTCCCAGTAGGCAGGCCTGGGAGTGCCCTGCAGGGCTCTTGTGGTACCCCCTCACGGTGGCTGGCATGCTTTGCAGAAGGCAGCCAGCAACGCTGGGATCCCTTCCGTCTTCGTTGAAGGTTGGTGCTGGAGATACCAGAGGACAGGGTGGGGCACCTGCTGTTGGTTGAGACTGCTGTGTCCCACGTGGGAGCGCCTGGACCTGAGGGTCAGCTCTGCTTGCCACCCAGACTTGCCTGAGAGAAGCAGATTTGGAAAAGAGTAGTGGTACATCCCAGAAAAGGGAGGTTTTCTGCTTCTTTGTTTTTCTTTTCTTTTCTTTTTTTTTAAGGCCTAGCATGATAGACTAGTGGCTCAATCCTGGTCTTGCAACTGCTGGGATCCCATACGGGTGTGCTGGTTCATATCCCTGCTGCTCCACTTCCCAGCTAGCTTCCTGCTTCCTGCTCCCTGCTTGTGGCCTGGGAAAGCAGTTGAGGATGGCCCAAGCCTTGGGATTCTGCACCTCTATGGGAGACCCAGAAGAATCTCCTGATTCCTGGCTCCTGGCTTTGGATCAGCTCAGCTCTGTCTGTTGCAGCCACTTGGAGAGTGACCCAGTGGATGGAAGATCTATCTCTCTTTCTCTCTGTAAATCTGCCTTTCCAATAAAACGTAAAAATAAATCAAAAAAGAAAATCATTTTTATTTGAAAGGTAGCATTACAGAGAAGGAAAGCCCAAGAGAGGGGTGGGTGGAGATCTTCCATCCACTGGTTCACACCCCAAATAGCCAAAATGGCCAGAGCTGAGCTGATCCAAAGCTAGGAGCATCTTTCAGGTCTCCGTGGATGCAGGAGCTCAAGCACTTGGGTCATCCACTACTTTCCTGGATCATTACTAGAGAAGTGGATTGAAAGTGAAGCAGAGGGACATGAAGCAGTACCTATATGGAATCCTGGTACCACAATTGGATGGTTAATCTGACATGCCACAGTTATGGGATCCCAAAGGGGGCATTTTGATGGACAAGTTGGAGGATAGAACTACATTTGGGGTTTCTTTAGTGGCTTTCAGCTCAGCAGACCTAACTAACTAGCTGCCTATTCCACACATGGGCACTTCAACCTTCCCCTGATCTAGCCTCACTCACTGGATCTATGAATTGAACAATGAAATGACCACACACCTGCCAACCTCCTGTGGCCAGTTCCATCAAGAGTATCTTGTAAGAGTATCTGACAAGGCCATCTTACTCTTTCAAACCCTCCACATAGATCCTCTAGGCCCTCCCTCTTCACTCAACCTGGGCAAGTGTCTGTTCATCACTATTTCATTTCATGCTGGCAAGTCGGACACTGTCTCTTCTGCCCAGCAGCCCGGCCCCATGCCTGGTCTCAGTCAACCCTGAGGTCTTTACCTCGTACTTCCTCACTGAAGGATGCCATATGTCTCATTTCCCATACCCATGCCACCACTCTGTCAACAGCGTTGGCAAGAACTGGTTTTAAGAGGATTTCTTTTAAACTGCTATGAAGAAAGGTTTAGTTTTTGAAAGGCAGAGTTGCAGAGAGAAGAGAGAAAGATTGTCCATCCACTGCTTCACTCCCCAAATGTCTTCGAAGACCAGAGCCGGGCCAGGCTGAAGCCAGAAACCTGGAACTCCACCTGGGTCTCCCACATGAGTGGGCCATCTTTTGCTTCTTTTCCAGGCACATTAGTGGGGAGCTAGATCAGAAATGGAGCACCCAGGAGATGGGATACCAACATGGCAGGTGATGGAGTAACTGCAGCTCAGTGCCAGCCCCTAAAATTGTTGTTTTTACCACTTACTAGACCACTTGAGGGCCACGTTTTCCAACTGCTTGATTTTTCTCCTAGATGACCGATGGCCGATCTCCTTGCCCGTATGACGCAGACGGTTAATATTTTATTGCTCACTCATGGAGACTTAAGCAGCTATGTCACAGTGGCAGTCCAACCATCTCTTTCTTTTAAGACTTAGTTTTATTCTATTTAAAAGGCAGAGTTACAGAGGAACCACATCTATGACATAGCATCCCATATGGGTGTTGGTTGCAGTCCTGGCTGTTCCATTTCTGAGTTAGTTCCCTGCTAATGTTCTGGAGAATCAGAAGATGGCTCAAGGTGTTTGGGCCCCTGCACCCACATGTGAGACCCAGATGAACCTCCTGGCTACTGGTTTCAGCCTGGCACAGCCCCTGCTGGTGCTGCTATTTGGACAGTGAACCAGTGGAGAGAAGATTTCTGTCTCTCCTTCTCTCTCTCTAACCCTACCTTTCAAATAAATAAATGTGAAAAGAAAAAATCAAAACTGAGAAACACTTCAGAGTAAAGGAGAGGCAGAGAGAAAGAGGGAGAGCACATGACTTCCATTTGGCAGTTTGCTCCTTAGATGGCCACGACAGCTGGGCCCGGGCTGGTCCAGAGCCAGGAGCCTGGAGCTTCTGTAGAGTCTCCCATCTTTCCCTGCTTTTCCAGATGCATTAACAGGGAATTGGATCAGAAGTGGAGCACCTAGGACCCAAGCCGACACTCAGACAGGATGCTGGTGTCACAGACAGGAACTTAAAAACTTCACCCCAATGCCAGGTCCTTGTGACCATCTATTTGAAATCTTTCGTCATCCACTTGTGGTTTTATGAAACTGTTTGCTATTAGGTTCATGGAGTTATATCTTTTAGCAACACATTGCTGTTCTAGACTTAGAGGTTTCGGTCTTCTAAATGGAAATTTTTATTTGAGGTTTCTAGGAACTGTAACACTTTGTTTTGTTTTTATTTTTTATTTTTTAAAGATTTATTTATTTTTGTTGGAAATTCAGATAAACAGAGAGGAAAGACAGAGAGGAAGATCTTCCATCTGATGTTTCACTCCCCAAGCGAGCGCAACAGCTGGTATTGCACCAATCTGAAGCCAGGAGCCAGGAGCTCTTCTGGGTCTCCCATGTGGGTGCAGGATCCCAAGGCTTTGGGCCGTCCTCGACTGCATTCCCAGGCCACAAGCAAGGAGCTGGATGGGAAGTGGAGCTACCGGGATTAGAACTGGCCACCATATGGGTTCCCGGCACATTCAAGGCGAGGACTTTAACAACTACACTATCGCTCTGGGCGCAAACTACAACACTTTGTAAAGGATAATTATGAAACAGAAAAAATGCAATGCAGGGTTAGAACAGTTAAGTTCTTTTAAAAATTGTTTTCCTCTTAATTTGGAACTGTTAGTGGATTGTTTCAGGATGTGAATCAAAGAACCAGTAGGTAGGAAATAACGTATAAACAAAGAGAGTATTCTTGGTAGAGAAGGTAAAGAGATAATTATTTTCTTCATAGAAAGGGGTACTCAAGGACTGACAGGATGACTCAGTGGCTAAATCCTCGCCTTGCATGCACTAGGATCCTATCTGGGCACTGGTTTATGTCCCGACTGCTCCACTTTCCATCCAGTTCCCTGCTTGTAGCCTGGGAAAGCAGTAGGAGGACGGCCCAAAGCTTTGGGCCCCTGCACCTGTGGGGAAGACCCAGAAGAAGCTCCTGGCTTCTGGCTCTGGATCAGCTCAGCTTCGGTTGTTGCGGTCACTTGGGGAGTAAACCAGTGGACAGAAGGTCTGTCTCTCTTTCTCTGTGGAAATCTGCCTTTCCAATAAAAATAAATAAATTTTTTTTTTAAAAGAAAGGGTGCTAGGGGATTAAATACGTTGTAAAAGGATTAGGGAAGTTAAATGCCATTTGAGATAAGGTTGGAAGCGATTATTTCAGGGCAGGGCTGGCGTCTCCTAAGTCCCATTTCCAGCTGAGGACCTCTCTTTGTTCCATGATGCATTTAACTGTCCTAAAAGGCTCCTATGCTGATGTCATGTGTGTTTTTTTTAATCTTTTAAATGAAGGGTATGTTTTCAGAGCAGACTTAGATAATGAGAAACTTATGCTAGAGGAAAATTTCTCAAGTTTCTTCTTGTCTTTATTGAGTCTTTTTCTTTTTTAATTTTTAACACAAAGTCAGATATGCAGAGAGGAGGAGAATAGAGTGGAATATCTTCCATGTGATGATTCACTCCGCAATGAATGTAATGGCCGGTGCTATGCCAATCCAAAGCCAGGAGCCAGGAACTTCTTCCAGGTCTCCCACATGGGTTCTGGGTCCCAAGACTTTGGGCTGTCCTCTGCTGCTTTCCCAGGCCATAAGCAGGAAGCTGGATAGAAATTGGGGCCGCCGGAATTAGAACTGGTGCTCACATGG